GCATAGCCCCATCGGCATCCGATTAAATTCATATAACCCCATAGGGGTCACAAAGGCAGTCTTCTCCTTATCAGCTGGATGCACCCCCACCTGCCAGTACCCATGTGCTAGATCCAATGTTGAAAAAACTCTAGATTGCTTCAATGAAGCCAATGATTCTTCAATTCTGGGGAGGGGGTACGAATCTTTATGGGTAACACCATTCAACCTCCTGTAGTCTACACAGAAACGAAGGGTGCCGTCCTTCTTTCTGACAAGCACTACAGGCGCTGCCCAGGGGCTATAGCTCTCCCTAATAATACCATTTTCAAGCATATTACTCAAAAGTCCCCTCACTTCTTGATATAATTTTGGTGGAATCCTATTATACCGTTCTCTAATTGGAGCTGAATCGCCTGTTGGTATCACATGCAACACCCTATCAGTGTACCCATAATCCTCCTCATGTTCTGAGAAGACCTTCTGATGCTTGGATAACAATTTGGCAATCATCTCTTGTTGTTCAGTGCTAAATTGTAATGGGTCTAATGGGACAGTCACCGGCCGAAACACCTGTTCTTGTTCTACATCCTGCACTCTATTCTGCCTCACCCCCACCTCCACTGTCTCATCATCCAACTGTCTTAACTCTACATCTCCTTGCCGACTTGGACACAACTCAACGTCAAAAATCTGCCCTATTCGACAGCGCTGAAAAAGAGTCACTGGGGCTGTAGAAAGATTTAGAATTCTGACCATAACTCTACCCTTTGAAACCGTGCTCAGTGATCTAGCTACCAATAACTGCCCCGGCAATACATCTTGACAAGGTTCTACTAAACCCACATAATCCTTCCTATCAGGTCGTAAACGTGCACATGCCTCTATCACTACCTCTGACTGAGCTGGTATTGTCTTCCGTCTTCCCTGCGGCCAGTAAATTGAACTTATCTGTCCTGACTCATCAGCAAACTTGAACAGATCTTCACACACCGAAAACATCTGATGCCACACCTTAACCTGCATTTCGCCTTCTGCCCCTACACAACTAACCCCAGTCTGTGTCATCAGGAAATCTCTACACTCCTTAATCACATTCATGCCAATTAGTCCTGGGTACAATGATCCATTTGAGTCTTTAACAATCAACACTCCTCTTTTTGGTATAACTTTCCCACATATATTCAAATCTACCTCAATATATCCAATGTACGGAATCGTTAACCCATTAGCAGCTACCAAATTGAACTTTTGAATTGGTGGATACATTGTTGGTCCTCTGGTCTCAAAATATTTTTTGAAATAACTTTCGGTCAATGTAGTCACTTGTGAACCCGTATCAATCAAGCAAGGCGTTTTAACCCCCTGTATCACCACTTCCACAGATGGACATTGTCCTATTAAATGATCCTTTTCTGATTGGCCACTACCAAATGTACCCACTGATTGGGCCTGTACAGTGGGTTCTAAAAGTTTAAAGGCCCCTGTGCTCCCTCTACAACCCTACAACGTCTTTCGATATGCCCAACTTGTTTACAACGTCGGCAGATAGGTCTTCCCTGATGGTCAAATTGATCTGAGCTTCTCCGACCCCTCCTTAACTCATACCTAGATCTTGCATCATCACTACTTGGCAATAAGTGCTGTACTCCTTCACGGACTTCCTTAATCATTCCAGCAACCATTTCCTTTATTTCTCCTTTTAACTGCAAAAAGACCTCCTGTTTAATCTCCTCCACCAATTTTGTTGTATCAGGGGCTGGTTTTAACTGCACTGTTGCAGCTACTGCTTGCCTTACCTCCCCAAATTCCTCTGCTCGCAGGATTGCTTCTTGTTTAACTTCTACAAAAGAACTATCAGGAGCTGCCCTGACCATACCCCGTAGTTCCCTACGCAATCCTGCATCACAGAGTCCCAAAATAAATTGGTCACGTAAAACATTACCCATAATGGTGCCATCGCCCCTATTCTCCAACCGATTACTCAATTCTTGAAGTGCCAAGGCAAACTGCCTAACATTCTCATCTGTCCTCTGTTTGCGAGTAAAAAATTGGGCACGAAGGGTTGCAAGGGGGACAATATCTCCATAAATGCTTTTCAAAAATGACAATATCTGATCAGCTGTCGTACGCTGTGCTGTTGGCAAGGCCAATACTTCCCTCTTTGCTTCCCCATCAAGATTACTTATTACAGCAGAGACCTTTTGCACCTCAGAAAAAGGGTATATATTGAACGTTGATGTCTGCATATTATACCAATCCTGAAAATTATTCCCCTGTGCAATTTGATCTCCATTAAATTTGACACCAAGGTGTCCCCATCATCATTGGAAACATAAACATATTTGCATTTGTTGCTTGATTCTGAGCCATATCCGGTGAACCATCTACTCTCTGCTGCCCCTCACTTGATGTAGAAGGTAACTGCACTGATGGTTGTGCAGTTGACATTTTCCTGGTTATTGCCCACAGTCCAGACTGCCAAAACTACGCCAAGTTGTAACCACCCCAACTCGTAATAAGGGTGATTTACAGGTTCTCTACTGGACCAATAATTTTCTGTGGCTCAATAACCAAGGAAAACTCACGTGCACAATGCATTAGATATAAATATAACAATTTTATTTTTAGACAATCGTGGGGTTAAAACCCAAGGGGGGGATAACAGGTTAATGCAAAGACAGGAGCAATTCTAATCATGTATTTGTAATGAATGCTAACATTTAATCAATAAACTTAGCGAAGAATAAAGCATCAACAAACAGGACAATATATTCAGCACGGGTCTCAAAGGTTGTTAAATACATGCATTAAATCAATTCATGTGATAACCAAGCATGCATAATTTCATTGCACTGCAACCCTCAAAGTCATATAAATCACGTAAATACCACACCAATAAATACACACCAAGTATCAGGACATCCCATCAATACCACTCACGCTAAATACATAGCCGTCGTCAATATACAGTATAAAAGGCATGTGGAAGATAACAACCTGCTCTCCTACCCCCTTACTCACACACACGCTCACTTTACACACAAATGGCGCCGGGGGACCAATAGTTGCACACATAAATTAGGGCCTCCCCGGCGAAAAAACACAATACCAACACAGACATCAACCACAATCAAATGAGAGTGTACTGCTGGCTTCCTTACCCGCTACCGGACGTGGGTTCCCGCATTCAAGGAAATCAACGGCGGCCGCCAAACTTAAGAGGGGAAAACCCCAGCACAATATCCCTCCCAGTCGCTATTCGCACGCGTCTATCTCCAACCCACGTCCCGGCACGGTAGCCTCGGCGAGGAACTCAGCAGCAGCCACAGAAAAACCCCCCAGCACAACAACAAATACATCATACCTTTATAACTTTGATTCCTGATTGCTAATGCACCACAGGTGTTTCTCTTCCCCGGCACATCATGAGTAAAACACTGTGGACGCTAATAGCGTTGCCACTCCCCTTATTTGGGATGCGCAGCTTACATGTTGGTTTGCCGGAAATCTCTAACAATAGATGCCACTGTTGAGCGTTGCAGATTTGGCTGCACTCTCTGACCAGCCTCTCTCACTGAGAGACCGTGATTTACTATATGATCAATTACAGTAGCTCTGATCTCATCTGAGACTACAGCTCTTGATCTCTTATTCTTCTTCACGCATACGTATTCCTCGCCCCCTCCCAGCCACTCTTCTTCCTCTTTCAGCCACTTCTCTATTTCTGGCTGGGTCCATGTTTACATCACAATACAAAACTATTCAGCAGTTGTCTCCTTTTGTAATGAAATTGAAAGAATAATACTTGTGTAGATGTTCATCTAAAATGAGAATCAGCTGTGGTTGGTCCAATTGTTTTTTATAGCATTTAAAATATATTTCATTAAAATATTACTGTAGAAATGTAGCAAATTGCTGTCTTATTCAGTCTTGTATTATGTTATTGTTTTGAACATAAGTTTAACAGTTTTGAAAACAGTTTGTAAGCATGTGCAGATTGGCCTGAGGTACTTGTTGTGTGAGTGAGAAAATAAATTATGTAATTTGAAAGATGTAGTCATTGAATGCATTTTGTGCCAAAGCAATGATAATTGATCCACAGTTTAGCCCACATATACTTCTGTTGTGCTCACTGTGTGAAGAGTTTTGAAAAAGTGACCTAAGTATTGAGAAATGTGTCCTATAGCGACTGTAAAAAAAACTGTAACATAGACTTAACATCAATCTCTGTAAATGTGTCTATCACCTGTTTAATGATGTGATTTTGAAAAACAAAACATCCGCGATAAAATATGAATAAAATAATAATAATGGATATACATTTAGTAATACGGACATTATAAATCCATTTACACGTGACTGTGGGTGTAAAAAAAAACGGAAAAAACGAAATGACAAAAATATATGGTAGAAAAATATGAAAAAACAAATAAAAAGCTTGAGCTTGCAAGGTTCTCTCAAAGTTCTGATCAAACGTCCTTCCAGTGACGTCATCTCCACCATGATGTCATCACACAGGAAAGCTCTTCAAGCGCTTCAGGAAGGTTAGCTGGTTTAAAGGGTTAGTTCACCCAAAAATGACATTTCTGTCGTTAATCATTCATCCTCATATCGTTCCAAACCCGTAAGACATTCGTTTATCTTCGGAACAGATATGAAGAAAGGGTATATTAATTATTAAACTTTGGTGCTCCAGCGGTTAATAAACAAACTGCTGTGTCTTGCGGAAGAACATTGTACCCGGATATACTTCTCTCTATGGCGAGTCTCGCAGGTACTGTGCTAGTCCGCAGCGGTTTAAAATAGTCCGCATATAAACACTTATTATAGTCGTAGTGATACAGGATAAGACAAAGACACCGGTTGGAAGATGGATTCATGATGTAGGCTACTGGCTCATTTACATTTCATGAATTTTGAACAAAAACAGGTTTACCTCAGGGAAAGTAAGTTAGAGTTCACCTGTCGACATTTTAAGCAGGTAAAATACCAATACGACACGGAGAAACAGAGCATCAAAGTGTTTCATCGAAACGTTTACACAGGACTTTCCGTGTATCTTTATAATGTTAAAGCTGGAGGATTTGAGATCCTGTATCTTGTAAAAGTTTGATCAAGGTGAGTGTTCATGTGTGACTTCCTCATATTAATATGAATCTCTGGAGGACATTTGACCTGATTGTTTGTTTGATATGAAATCTTTAATAAAGGGATTCTTTCGCTTCAAGGGTTCTTTTGTGTTTGGTGATGTTTGTGATTCTTCAGGAGTTTAACACTGTAGGGTAGACTGGGTACAGTTGAGACACTTTTTGCGTTTTGATTTTTCACACAAAAATAGATACTGAAAAGAAGTGAATTTCTACATGACATGCCACGACATTTCATTAGATTGTAGACTAAGATATTATCAATCAATAGCCTAGTACCCATACGTAGTTTATATTTTCCACAATTAGCTCATAAAAATAAGGTGCTTTTTGTCTTAACTTTGTCTCAACTGTACCCATGTGTGGTACAGTTGAGACAGTGCATGGTACAGTTGAGACACCCATTTTTAATGATGTAAAGGTAACTAAATGTTCATTGCAAATATAATAAATAAATAAAAAAAATTAAAAAAAATTGGGCAACATGTTTATTTATTCATCCATTTAAATTCATTCATTTTATTTAAATTAGCACTGGTTAAAATATATAAAACAGGAACAATATATTTAATATATTTATTAATAATACACAGTTTAAATATCACAAATATCAAATTTTATTTTCATTTGCGTCCTATGCTGGCTAATTACGACGTTAAACCTGTTATCATAACACTGAACAACTAAACAGTGTGTTTCTTAATAGAAATCTATCGGGGGTACAGTTGATACACTGTGTCTCAACTTACCCCGCTGGCCACCTCGCACATTTCTCTAGATTTTGCAATGATCTTGCATGACACAATACCATGAAATATGCCAGTTTTTAGAGCACAGAATAACGTTTGTGATGACAACAGTTACGTTTAACAGTCACATAAGGATAATAAGCTATTCATTGTGGAGTGTGCATGGTGAAGTGAACGTCTTACCTTAAAAAAAAAAACCTGCCGATTTCTTCGGATCGGAGATGCGTCCATTGTTCAAATTTCCCACGATCAAAGATGACACTAATACGCATGTGCACAGCAAAAATCACAAATTGTGCTTGCTGCGCACGCAAGTTATTTAAGGTGTCTCAACTGTACCCAGTCTACCCTAAACACGAGCTTGAGTTAACGCAGTCACATGATCCTTTTTCTCACACACTCCAGATATGTTCAGCTAAATTAAGAAGGTTGTTTAGTCAATTTAATAATTTAATATTGTGTGTGAATGTTTCTTCATCAGAGTCAGTGGAGGAGATCAAACTCATCAGATTCTCCTGCTTCTTCATCATGGCTGATTCACAAGCATCCAGAGATGGAGATTTCTCTCCAGGATGCAGGTACTTTCAACAAACACTGTTAAATATTGTGTTACATCACAGAAAAAGATCAGAAAACACACACACACACAGATCAAATAAACATTTACAGTAAAAAAAAAATATTTTTTAATTGTTGCCTATTTTGCCTGTTTTCTAAAACTAACATGAAATATTAAATAAAAACATTTTTGATGAAAGATGAAATATATCTGGAAGATATCACTGAACATTTATTTAACCATAGCAAAAGTAGATTTCTTACTGAAGATGATTTTCCATTTCAGTTTTTAGTGTTTATACAATTAGACAAATTAATCTCCAGTCTGTTATTGATCAGTTCAGATCTAGCCAGCAGAAGACGCTATTCATTTTGGAACTATTTTTCGACCATGACGGGATGCCTTTTCCACGTCCAAATGTTGTGGGTGTAAAATTGAGTGGATTTCTCTAATCGCTGGTTCAGACTTGTTGAGAGCTTCACGGTGCATGGTCAGAACAGTGATGTTTCACAGCAAGAGTACTGTTACTAGAGTACAGTAAGGTGTATGGAAAAAAATCATGACAAATGTTCTTGTTGAATTGTACTTGGACAAAATATGCATTGCATTAACCGTGCTTGCATTTTAATGCATTGTATTTTTAGGGCTGAAATTTAACATGATTGTATATTTAAGCTGTAAATATTTGAATTCAAAACATTTAATACACATTTTCATTATTAAAAATGTAATAATCCATATTCACCTTTCAGATTTCACTTCCAAAATATTCATTCTGTTTAAAAATACAACATATAATATTCGACAGGCAATTTTCAGTCCATTTTATCTCGCTTTACAAATTCGTTTCCACAAATTCAGTGGTTTAAATTCGACAGAAAATTCAACATTTGACACCTGGGAACGTCCGGAATATCAGTAGATTACCGAATCATAATCTCCATCTGCTGTTAGTCGAGCTCACCAGCAGGGGGCGCAATCGGCTTTTGAGGAAGAAGACTAGAGCAACGGGCAGTGTTGGGAAGGAGACTTTCAAAACGTATTTCATTACAGAATACAGAATACATGCCCAAAAATGTAATTTGTAATGTATACCGTTACTCAATCTGAGTAACGTATTCTGAATACTTGGATTACTTCCACATTGAATTGCCTTTTATAAGTGTAAGAATGCGGCCATCAAATCATGCTTACTAAACAGGCCTATTCGGGTGGGGTGGGGGTGCGGTGATGCGGTGCTGACGCGTTCATGTAACATGTAAGGGTGGCGCTGCCAATAAAGCACCTAAAAGCTGTCACAAAGAACCGGCAAAAGTAATGATTATGAATATGTCAAATATAGCAAGGAGATATTTTAATTGTTTATTAATAAACAAGTGTTTTCTTTGTCAGTGTCGGCTAAGATGAAGTTGACGATGCTGACTCGCGATCTTCAGTAGTGAACGCGCCAGGGAGAAATGCACATTTCATACGGATCACATAAGCAGAGAGCAGTCTGTAGTCTGGTTTCTTTTGTTTTGAATTGTTCTGTTTAAAAGTAGACATGTCTGTGAGGCAAGTAGGCTACCTTATACGCTGAGTTTCGGTTCATTTATGAGAGGAGCTCCAGTTCACGCGCCGCCGCCTCCGTTTCTTATCTATCGTCTGCTATATTTACTTCTTATTTATTAAATCCAGGCAATTGGTTACATTTACATTTACATTTAGTCATTTAGCAGACGCTTTTATCCAAAGCGACTTACAACTGAGGACTAAACCAAGCGAGTCATCGTGAAGAGGCAAAAACAACGCAAGAAGTGCTCAAAATACAAAGTTCAGACATAGCTCGGAGTAGCATAAGCCAAGCGAGGATTTAAAGGAAAGGATTTTTTTATTTATTTTTTTATGTTAAGTGCTCCCGGAGGAGATGAGTTTTCAGTTGTCTTTTGAATGCTGTCAGGGATTCTGCATTCCGGATGAGGGTGGGGAGATCATTCCACCAGCATGGAACCGTGAATGAGAATGTTCTGGAGAGTGATTTTGTGCCCCGCTGTGATGGCACCACGAGCCGTCGGTCATTGACCGATCGTAGGCTTCTGGTAGGGATGTAGACTTGTAGTAGTGAGTGGAAGTAGGAGGGAGCTGAACCTGTGGTCAATCTGTAAGCAAGCGTCAAAGCCTTGAACTTGATGCGAGCAGCGAGTGGTAGCCAGTGCAGAGAGATGAACAGAGGAGTGACGTGGGCCCTTTTGGGCTCGTTGAAGACAAGACGAGCTGCAGCATTCTGGATCATTTGTAGAGGTTTAGTTGCACATGATGGAAGTCCAGCCAGAAGAGCATTGCAGTAATCAAGCCTAGAAATGACCAGGGCCTGGACGAGAAGTTGTGTTGCATGCTCAGTTAGGAAAGGCCTGATCTTCCTGATGTTGTGCATAGCAAACCTGCATGATCGAGCTGTCTTTGTAATGTGGTCTGTGAAGGTCAGCTGATCATCAAAGATTACTCCAAGATTTCTGATCGACCTTGATGGGGTGATTGAGGAAGAATCTAGCTGGATAGTGAGGTCGTGCTGTAGAGACTGATTGGCAGGGAGGACGAGAAGCTCAGTCTTTGCCAGGTTGAGCTGCAGGTGATGTTCCTTCATCCATCCCGAGATGTCCGCCAGACAGCTTGAGATCCGTACAGCTACTGTGGGATCATCTGGTTGAAATTAGAGGTAGAGCTGGGTGTCATCAGCATAGTCAAGTCAAGTCAAGTCATCTTCATTTATATAGCGCTTTTAACAATGGAGATTGTTTCAAAGCAGCTTTACAGAGATAAACATACAATTTACGGTAACAGAGATTGTTTTGGCTTTATAGCGATTTTTGAATAATGTTATTTCCAGCTAAAGTTGGTTTTGATTGATTTACTTCCCGCAAAAGTATCATTTGTTATTACATTAGGGGCCACTAAGACGACGGCGTTCTCTCTAAACAGACTTTAAACACGAACCTGTGACCGGATGGCGTTCACATGCGCATTAAAAATTGATTCTATAGTTAAATAGATTCATAGCAATGGTAAGAGAAACCATGTGCCTGTATGATGGGTCCCAGTGATGTGGTGTAAATGGAGAAGAGGAGCGGTCCGAGAACTGAACCCTGGGGAACTCCTGTGGTCAGTTGATGTACTTTGGATACCTCGCCTCTCCATGTGACCTTGAAGGACCTACCTGTGAGATAGGACTCAAACCAGTTGAGGGAGGTTCCAGTGATGCCCAGTGATAAGAGGGCGGACAAGAGGATCTGATGATTCACAGTGTCGAAGGCAGCAGACAGGTCCAGGAGGATGAGAACTGATGATTTGGAAGCAGCTTTTGCGATCCGCAGGGCTTCCGTGACTGACAGCAATGCAGTCTCAGTTGAATGTCCTTTCTTGAAGCCGGATTGGTTGACATCCAGCTGGTTGTTCAGAGACAGGAAGGATGATACTTGGTTAAAAGCAACTCGTTCAAGTGTTTTCGCAATGAATGGTAGGAGAGAGACAGGTCTGTAGTTCTCTAGAAGTGATGTGTTTAATGTTGGTTTTTTAAGCAGAGGAGTTACCCGAGCCTGCTTAAATGCTGTAGGGAAAATGCCAGTGTGGAGGGATGAGTTGATAATGTGTGTGAGAGCTGGTAGAAGTGTGGGAGAGATGGCTTGTAGAAGGTGTGAGGGGATGGGGTCTAGAGGGCAGGTGGTAGGATGACTGGAGAGGAGAAGTTTAGATACTTCTTCCTCGGTTAGTGGAGTGAAGGAGGAGAGAAGGTTATTGGCTGTGGGAGAGGTTAGTCTGGGTTCCTGTGCTGAGAACTGACTGCTGATAGTTGTAGTTTTGTTAGTGAAGAAGTTAGCAAAATCATCAGCAGTTAAAGAGGAGGTGGGTGGTGGTGGAGGTGGACAGAGGAGAGAATTGAATGTCTTGAACAGTGAGCGTGTGTTAGAGGCGCTGTTGATCTTGTTGTGTAAATATGAAGATTTTGCGGCGTGAACATCAACAGAGAAGGCAGAGAGCAGAGATTGATACCTACTGAGGTCAGATGTGTCTTTTGATTTGCGCCATTTCCTCTCCGCTGCCCTGAGCTTGGTCCGGTGTTCACGAAGAACCTCAGATAACCAGGGGTTAGAGGGAGTGGTGCGTGCTGGCCTAGAGGAGAGAGGGCAGATATTGTCTAAAGAAGAGGTTAGGATGGAGCATAAAGTATCCGTTGCAGTATTCACATCCAGAGATGAGAAATGTGAGGGTGAGGGAAGAGAAGATGACACAGCAGAGGAAAGATGGGATGGAGAAAGTGAGCGCAGGTTTCGTCTGAAAGTAAATGGTGGGGAGGTTGGTGGAGCATGGGTAGTGAGTTGTAGATTGAAAGTAATGAGGAAATGATCTGAAACTTGGAGAGGTTTCACCAAAATGTTGTCTGTGATACAGTTGCGTGTGTAAACCAGGTCCAGTTGGTTGCCTGACTTGTGAGTACCGGTGGTGATGAGCCGTTTGAGATCGAAAGAGGCTTGGAGAGAGATGAAGTCTGTTGCATACGGCTTCGCTAGGTGAATGTTGAAATCGCCAAAGACTACAAGTGGGATGCCATCCTGAGGGAAAGAGGACAGCAACACATCCAGCTCTTCTACAAAGCTTCCCAATTGACCTGGGGGGCGATAAATAACTACAATATGGATCTTCATGGGAGTTGTAAGTGTAATAGCATGATATTCAAATGAGTTGTTGTTGCATAGAGAAGAGAGAGTTGAATATTTCCAATTGTTAGAAATGAGAAGACCAGTGCCCCCACCCCTCCCTGACTGGCGAGGTGTGTGAGAGAAAGAGAAGTTGTTAGAGAGAGCAGCAGGGGTTGCTGAGTCTTCTGGACGGATCCAGGTCTCAGTCAAGCCCAAGATATTAAGAGTAGAATGAGATGCAAAGGCTGGAATGAAGTCAGCTTTATTGACTGCTGATTGACAATTCCATAGACCCATAGAAAAAGTGAGAGGTGAGTGTGAGGATAAGAGAATAGGGCGCAGATTA